AGGTGGGTGGCTGGGTGGGGGGACAGCTCAGGGCACACTGTTGGGAGGTTTGCTAAACAGTGTCACTTGTTGAAGGCAAACACAGTGATCTGATACGTAAATCTGCACCCAGTTTACAAAAGAAGTTATCTTTGTGGGCCATGTACAAGAGAGTGAAGCACGGTCCGTCCTGTGCCTCCTCACAGTGGTCCTGATGTTGGAGCCCACTGTGGCAGCCATGGGGTCCGTCCATCTCGCCGAGGGTCCTCTACTTGACCAAGCATGACGACTTCTCCAGGGACTGGTCTCTTCTGACAACGTATCTGTGTTAGCCCGGGTAGACTAGAGAAACAAATCAAGAGACACTCATATATATGTAAGAGAGAGATTTATATCAAAGAATAATTGTATATTAAGAAATTATCCCGGCCCAGTCCAGATCAAGCCTGTAAGTTCCATATTAGCCCACGTGTCAGATACCAGTCTATAAGTTCTTCTACAGACACGTAACACATGCAATGCCGCCAAGTGCAGGAAGATCACAGGCCAGTGGGTGGAAAGTACTGTGGATCCAGTGGTTGTGGAAGCATCTCAGCACTGGCGTGGGTCTCCACGTGGCTCCTCCAGCTCCAGGGCTCTGGCTCCATCAGTGTAGCTGCATGTGGCTTGTCAGCAGGAAGAGGAAGCAGAGAGAGTGTGTCCCGCCTCCAGGGAGGAAGACAGGAGTTCCCAGAATCCTCAGGAGAAGGCCACGCCCACACAGAAGTCTCATTGGCTCTGACCTGATTGACAGGCCCCATCCCTTCACCCAAGTTGACTGGAGCTCATGGAACGGTTACAATGTCCAAAGTCCGTGAGAGGAAGTCTCCCCAACCTCACTCCTCAGGAGCCTCAAGACTTTACTTCCCCCCAGACCCAGTTGTTCATTTTTCTGGCAGCCCAGGGTACCTTCAATATCCCTCTCCAGCGTTACAAATCAAATCTATCGATTCTTCCCAGGTATTCCTTATGGAATGGCCTTAGGACTGGGAGAGAATGCAGTGAGGGGCTGAGAGCTGCCCGCTCAGAGCCAGGCCACTTTGGTGTGAACCGTGTGGCTCTGGCAACCACCAACTCCCTCCTGCCCGCTTTTCTTCTTGTTTGCTTCTGACAACGGGGCCAAGCAGCGTAAGACTGGACAGAACGAAGACAACAGTGACCCCCGCAGAGGGTGACTGTGAGGGGCGTGAGAGCGGACACACGCAAAGCGCTTGGGAGCCCCTCCCAAACCCACCGCCCTCCTGCCCATGCCAGTCCACAGTGGCCCTGGGACTCGGTGGAAGCACCCTGTGGGTTTCCGAAATCGTCATCGTTTGGGGTTTTTTTTTTAGAGCCTTTATTAGATCATCAGCCCCTGGTTTCCATCCACCTTGACCGTCTGTAGGTGTTTGAAAGTGGTGATGGGCACGTAGGTAACCAACGTACAGCGGCGTTTGGGGAACTTCATCCTCAGTACATTTCCCGGACAACCGTATGCAGAGACGGTTGGGGCCTTCCTGATGCCTTTGGCCCAGACGGCTTTGCTGAGCCTGGTGTCCATTCGTCCACCTCCTTCCTGGCAAACTTCCAGATCTCCTGGAGGGCCGAGGGGCACATTCCTTGCACGTTCGGACAATGATGGCACCCCCTTTGGTTAGGACCTGCTGAACACCCTTCTTTGCCTAGGGCTGGGGCCAGGCTGGGAAGACCAAGTTGTCTCCTCACAGAAACACAGGCTTCTATTGCTCTCCCACAGAGCAGACAGTGGGACAGGACTACCCGCCCTCCGGTCCGCAGCTCAGCGCTGCACCCCCTGGGACACCGTAGGCTGACGTCATTGTCGCCATCATCACGGCCACCATCTGCGCTGCTGAGCGATCTTTCCATGAACACAGACTCCCCGCTCGGAGCCAGGAAGAGACACGTCTCCCATGTCCACTGGAAGCACGCCAGACATACTCCCTCACTGCCACTGTCAAGTCCACTTCGCAGCAATCCCATGGGACAGGGTGGAACCATCCTCTGGGCTTCCCAGACTGTAGCTCTTTATGGGAGTAGAAAGCCTCATCTTTCTCCCTCGGAGAGGCTGGTGGTTTCGAATTGCTGACCTTGCGGTTAGCAACCCAGCACATAACCACTGCGCCACCAGGGCTCCCAAGCACTTAATAATGATAACTAAAAGGTATTTTAAAACAAAAGCACAAGTTCAATACCTCTCTGGACCAGGCGTGGAGTGGCAAGCCTCAATGGCCAGCAGCAGCTCACCCAGAGACCTCCCGGGGTGCTAGCCCAGAAACAGGCAGGGTGTGAGCCGACCCCGTGGGAGGGAAGAGTCAGCCCCGCTGCTCTGTCCCATGGTGAGACACAGCTTCTTGGGGCTAAAAGGCAGGCTCCAAGATGCCTGTGTACACAAAGCATTCAGAGACACAGCCTGTCAAGTCGTAAAAAGCTCTCAAATGAGAATCCAGGATGAGAACCAGCCAAGCGCATGAAGGGACGAGGGACGAGGAGCCACTGTCCACAGGGACTGTCCACGCAGGCCCATGGAGACCAGGAGAGGCCGCTCCTTCTTGTCACTGGAACGGATCAGGTCGGGGGTGGGGGTGGGGTGGCCACAGACTTGAAGGTTGGTCCAGCGATTGGACTCAGACCCACAGCGATCAAGGTTCAAACCCTGGCGCCCCAGGCCTACAGCAGGGGAGCTTGACCGTCCGCTTGTGCAGGAGCAATGGGGTTGGAGCAGGTTCCAGGCTGGACTGCTAAAGGCGGGCAGTGCAAGCCCATCAGCCACAGCTGCGTGCAAGAAACACGAGGCTGTCTGTGCCTACCACGACTTACCGCCTTGGAAGCCCAGAGGGGCAGCTCTGTCCCAGAGCCAGTGAGTCAGCATGGGCGTGGGTTTGGGTTGGGGCGGGGGGTTGATTCAATTGGGGTGTTGGTTTAGTTTTGTCTGCAATGGACGTGTCTGTCACTAAAGACTCTAAGCCCACTTCCGTGGTAGCCTCCTCCTCTCAGAACCACTCAGATGAAAGCTCACCCCTGTGGGGTAAGGAATGTGGAGGGAGGTTAAGGTTCGGACCCTTCTGCTTTTTTAAATAGTTTAACCATATATTGCTTTGTTTAGGTTTTTAAAGAAACACTTATTCTGTGTAACTGCACACCCAGCTCGTCAAATCAAACCAGTAACCATATCCCAAGAAAAACCCCATCGGCCCCAAACCTAACTCACCGCCATTGAGCCTGTTCTGATTCATGGCGACCGAGCAGGATGGGGAGAGCTGCCCCACGGGTTCCCGAGGTGGTCCCTCCTCCTCCTGCAGAGTGGCTTCCAACCGCCACCCTTGCGCTGGCTCCAACCCCCCACAAATGTGTGTGTGTGTGTGCGCCTGTGTGTGTGTGCCTGTGCCTGTGTGTGTGTGCCTGTGTGTTGGCTTGTTCCTTCCCACCCTCCCTCCTGCCATGATTTCCTGTTTCTCCCCCTCCCTCTCCTCCCCACACCCCACCCCCACTTCCCCCTGGCCCACTCCTGGTTTTCTTCTTTTTCTTAGTTTTTCCTGGGAACAATGGCGCCATCAAGCATTTCTAGGACCGACTACCTTGGCTAAGCATAAGGTTCTTAGTCTGGTGCTGCTGGATACTCACTCTTGTTTTCAAAGGGTGCATAATATCCCATTGTAGGAAATGCGGTTGTTTTCGTTTGTTTTTGGACATGAGTTCATCGCTCAGGACAGGAAGGCTCCATTATATTGCCTCCCTACCCCCGGCTTCATGGCGCCCCACGGATCACAGTTTTGCCCCAGACTGAAGGCCGGGGGAGCCACCTCCAGCCAGGAGTGCCTACTTTGAACCTCTGTATCACATTCTGGTCACTCTCAACATATGCCAGACCACGCTCACCACGGGGTCGCCAGCGTCACAGATGCTCGCTCAGCATCCTCGGAGCTGGTGTGGGCACGAGGACACTCACCGAAGCCCTTGTGTGACCCCTTGACCCAAAACCCATGGTGTCTCAGAGCCCTGGTGGCACTGAGGGGTAAGTGCCAGGCTACTAACTGCAGGGCCGGCAGTTCAGACCCAACGGCCACTGGAAACTTCCTAATGATTTGCACTCCTGGAGACCCACCGCAGCACACCCACCCTGCCCCGAGAGGCCTGAGGAGTCAGCTGTTACTTGCCAGCCAGGGCGGGGTGCGTTTGCTTGCAGGTATAGTGCGGAGAGACTTTATCTCACCTGGGCAAAGGGCTCTTCCAAGGATCGGTCATGCCTTCCAAGCCAAAAATCACTGTCAGACCTGCAGGGGACTGGTGTCATCAGGGAGTATCAATGAGGTTAGAACAACCCGCCGAGCAAGGTCAGAGGGACAGCCTTTGCTGGGGGTGAAGGCCAGAAGGCAGGAAGGGACAGGGAAGAAAAGCGAGTGTACATTTTTAAACCACTGCCATGGGGTCAATTTTGATGCATAGGGACCTTACAGCAGCTAGGTACCCATTGATACCAGGTGGATTCGAACTGCTGACCTCACAGTTAACCCACCATGCCACCGAGGATCATTTTCGGTTTGACGATCAATGCTAGGAAAAAAATGTGTAGTAGGCATCGATTGGAGAACCAGCCTGCTCTGTGATCTTTCGCCTGTCCTGGTACCCAAACCAAACACACTGCCATGGAGGCAGTTTCACTCTGAGCGCCCCACGGGGGGTCAGAGGCTGTGCACCTTTAAAGGAGCAGACAGCCTCTTCTTTCTCTGGCAGAGGGACTGGTGGGTTTGAACCGCTGGCCGTGCTGTAAACAGCCCTAATAATAAAAATAATGGTGGGGAATCATATCCAAACAGTCCACTTCACCAAAACAGCACCTGAATGGTGAAAAGAACCCCGCACCCACGTAGGCAAGCCTCACAACTCACCTTGACGGTGTGTTCTGTCTGTGTTGGGATGCCAGGGCCCCAGCCTTGGGCCAGGCAAAACCATGCTCACCTACCCTGGTGTGTGTCTCTCCGCAGAATGTACAATAAGATATGGCACGCGACCCAAGACTCCCTGGACTCTCTGCTGGACAAGGAGTCTCAGAAGATGGCCGAGCCCCACAAGAACCGGGTCTTCGTCTTCGACATGCTGGCCACCTTCTACATCAAGTACGTGCAGATCTTCCGGAAGCTGGAGACCGTCTACGACCAGATGGTCCACCCGCAGAAACGGCTCCTCATCCGGAAAATGCTGGACGGGGTGATGGGCCGCGTCCTGGAGCTGAAGAATGAGATGGTCGAGCTGGAGCTGACCGAGTTCCACTACTTTGACAGCATTCTCCCGGACCTGAAGTTGGTTCCTGTAAGTATCCCTCACCTCCTCTCTCCCTCTCCTGTCCTTCCTTCCGTCCTTCCTTCCTTGTTCCTTTTGGTTCAAATCAGAAGGTAGACCTGTAGCCAATAGTCTAAAGACCCTCTCAACAGACAGACCGGTTGTTTGATACTAGCAATCAAACACAGCCCTTCCGTTCCCCCGTATCATCTTGTCCATGACCAAGGGTGGGTTCCCCTTAGTGCTTGGCACAGGGGACTCCTTTCACAGACCTTGGGAAGCCCTGCAACTGTGCTTCCGGGTTGGTGGTTCAAACCCACTGGCTGCTCGTTGGCAGAGAGTTGAGGCTGTCTGCTCTGGTAAAAATCGACTGGCCTCGGGCACACTGTGTAGCCTCACTGTCAATCAGAGTGGACTGAGGGCAGGGGGGCTGGTATTGGGCACGGAGTTCACTGCAGTTTTCACGGACACCAGGGCACGTACCCAGGCCTGATGGCCATGTCCCTTCGGGGACACCCGGTTCATATAAATCCCACCGTCCCCTGCTGCAGTGCCCCTGCTGGTTCCATGGGGACTCACTCTCGGGCCCTTATTCCTTGCCGTCCTGCAGATGAGACAAGCTGCCTGTGGGCCTCTGGTGCCTGGTCTGCAGGTGGTGTGTCTCCTCCTTTGATGGGGGCCACTGGTAAGCATGGTGAGGACGCATGACTGTGGGCACTGGAGCCTCAGTGCCCTGAAGCCCACCCCCAACTGACCCCTGGAAGCACAGCACCCTCCTGCCCAGATAACCTGGATCTCTCCCAGCTCTCTGTCCATCCATCTGTCTGGGTCTCCCAGGAGCAACTGGCCACCCCGTTTCCACGTCATAGATCTTTGGCCCAGCTTTAAAAGGACATTTCTCTGAAACACACTAAGAAGCAGAACGTGTTACAGAAGTGTCCGTTTAAAGCAAAGATCTGCACAGTTCAATGCCTGGCTACTCCTCCCTGAGCTATTTATTATATTAAGTAAGCTAAGGTCGTGGAGTTGTGTTTCTATACATTCCTTCAGGGGTTGATTGTGTTAAGCCATTTACCTAGAGAAACAAATGCAGTGACACTCATATATATTTAGATGCATATCTGTATATAGGAAAGAACTTTATATCAAGAAGTAATTTTCTATCAAGAAGGCACTGCAATGAAGAGATCACTGAAGATAAGGTGTGACAGCAAAGTGTGTGAAGAAAGCAGATGGTGCCTGGCTATCCACTGGGATAGTGTCTGGGTCGTAAACGTTCGTATGCAAACAAGCAGCCATCTAAGAGAGGCGTGAACCAAGTCCACATTGAAGAAGCACACCAGCCTGTGTGATCCAAAGATTGTAAAAATCCAAATATAATGAACAGAAAAGTACCAGAGCTTAAAATGTGAACACCCAATTTGTAGGAAGCTATGGAAGTCCGTTGGAGCCCAAAATCCATCTGCAGAGCATCTAGTCAGATTAAGCCTCTGGCACCTCCCCTCTAGCCACAGGCAAGGAACACAAACAGTTTTACTATCAGACAGCCATTACTGTAAACTTGATTATGGTGCATCCAACCACGGCATAATGTGATCACTTGGTCAGTTGACCACCCTCTTGACCCAACCTGATTTTGTTCTAGGCTTAAATATCTCTCACTTGTTCCACAGCAGAAATTTGTTCTCTGGCTGTTTAAATATTGCCTGTGGTCTTTTCTTTCTTTCTCTTTATATTGATTTTTAATCTTTCTATAATCATTCTTTTCTTCTTTCTGTTCCGCTTTGCTTTGGTTTATTTCTTGTTTCTGTTAGGTTTCCCAGTTTACAAAGCACAGAGACAGTAGCTGCTGCTGTGGTTGATGGGGGGCAGGGGACTGGGGAGGGGAGGGAGTCGGGAGCAAACAATGGATGCAGGGATGGGGAAGGAGCACGGGAACTGGCTGTGAGGATGCAACTCTTTGTGGAAGTGACCTAACTATGGAAGTGTGTGCTGTGTTAATTTTGTATCAAGAAAACTACTGAAACAACAAAAAGAAAAGAAACCAAAGTTGGACACCGGCGGCCCTGATGGAGGAGGAGGCGTTTCGCCCGGGGCACTGGGTGTGGGGTCATTTGGAAAAGGGTACCAATCGATGGTGGTTACACAACAGATGCGTACAATCGATGGCAATGAATTAGACATGTCGAAGCTGTTGAATCGGAGAATTTTTTTTGCCAAAATTAAAAATATGTATATTAATTGCACTAGTAACAAGGAGTACAAGAGAGATGAAAATGCTCCAAAGTGGATGGTGGTATTGATTGTAGAACTCTTCTTGATATGACTGAGCTAGTGAATTGTATGATATGTGGATGAAGTGCCAATAAAAGTGCTTTAAAAATAAATAAACAAAAAGAAGAAGGCACCCCAGCTCCATCCAACTCAAGTCCGATGCCAGCAGGACCCTCCTCAGACTCCCGGAGCTGCGGGCTGGTGACACAGAAAGGTGAAGCAGGACGCCGGGAGAACACGGGCCTGTGGGTGCAGAGGCCTGTGCACCCAGGGTCTGTGGGAACATGACAGGGTACCCGCAGGTCTCAGGGTCCCCTGGAGGCAGGCAGAGTCCCAGCAAGCAGGAAGACAATGTGACAGAGAGAGTGAGAGAGCCTCAGTGTCTCTCACTCTTATACAGAATAATAATTTATAATTTATCCAGGGGTCACACGGGTGGGAGTGGGGGCTGGAAAGAGTGTGTTAGTCTGCGTAGACTAGAGAAACAAATTCATGGACACTTATATGTGTGTAAGAAAGAACTTTATCTAAAAGAGCAATTGTATATTGAGAAACAGCCCAGCCCAATGCAGATCAAGTCCATAAATTCAATATTAGCCCATATGCCCAATACCAGTCCATAAATTCCTCTTTAGATGCATGCAGCCATGCAATGGTGCTGAATGCAGGAAGATCACAGACCAGTTGGTGGAAAGTCTTCTGGATCCAGTGGCAGTGGAAGTATCTCAGCTCTGGCAGGGGTCTCCACATGGCTTCTCCAGCTCCAGGGCTCTGGCTGCATCCCTGTGTCTCTATGTGGCTTGTCAACAGGAATTCAAGCAGAGAGTGTCTCCCGCCTCCAAGGAGGAAGACCGGAGTTCCCAGAATCCTCAGGAGAAAGCCATGTGCACACAGAGGCATGATTGGTTATGACCTGATTGACAGGCTAGACTCCACCCCTTCACAAGTTGACATGAGATTATGTAATTGCCACAGGGAGGGGAATAAAGAGCTGATACCAAGGGCTCAATAGAAAGTCAATGTTAGAAAATGATGATGGCAATGTATGAACACTGTGCTTGATACAACTGATGTGTGGATTGTTATAAGAGCTGTCAGAGCCCCCAATAAAATGATCTTCTAATTAAAAAAAAAAGGCTATGATACAACCCAACTGATAGGTTGGACCCTGCCCCGACCCTTACCCAGGGGTGTCTCCTTAACAAAGTCCCTGCCCATCACAGGGGCTATCAGTCAATTAAGGGCTCACTAACAGGAACCACCAAGGTGTTACTGTAATGTTCATAACAAGAGGTGTGCTTGCAAGTTTTTCATTCAACTCTGTCTGCCTCCTTAGCAAGGAGCCCTGGTGGCACAGTGGGTTGTGAGCTGGGCTGCGAACCAAAGGTCACCAGTTCAAAACCATCCGCTTACTCCACAGGAGAAAGACGAAGCTCTCTACTCCTGTCAAGAGTTAGTCTTGGAAACCCACAGGGGCAGTTCTCTCCCCTGCCCCATAGGGTCATAGTGTGGGAATGGCACCCTGATGGAGCCGCCCCGAGTGAGAAAGGTGGGGCTTCCTACTCCCGTAAAGAGTGACAGCCTCAGAAACCCCCATGGGTCCATCATTCTGCTCTGTCCCAGAGGGCTGCTGTAGCTCAGACTTGCTCCAAGGCTGAGTTTTCGGGTTTTATTGGGTTTCTGTTTCCATCCCCCCAACACTCAGGAGTCCGCCCTCTTTTCTCCGGTGGCCTTGTCACCTGGTGAGAACGGGAAGTCACCCACCTGCCCTTCCTTGTCCCTTGATGGACCGTTCACCTTCTTGATGTTGAAAGGTCCACACACTCCCCACGGTCTCTGTGTGCAGCTCAGTGACTCGGGCCACATGGTTCACGTGGCTATCATACAACCCAACTGATAGCCCACCCCACCCTCCACCGCCCACGTGAACCTGCGCCCCACCCCAGTCCCCAGCACCCCCTCTAGCCTCTCAAGTTGCCATTGTCAATTTCACCCCCAAAAATGGTCCTCGAGAGGCAGGCCTTGCCACACGCGCCCTCTGTGTTCTGTACATGACTCTGAGACCTCGGGTCGTGGCAAAAGGCCCTCATTGCTCTTCTCCCCCCCTCCCTTCTCTCTTTCCTAGCAACAATTAGATATTCCCATCCCCAGGTACTTTTTGAAGGAGAAGCTGGAAGTGATCAAAGGAAGAGAGAAGATCCTGGCGCAAATCCTCGCCGACAGCGGACTGGACATGATGAGCCTGGTTCGTGCCCCATCCTAGCAAACACCTTCGCAAAAATGTGAAGTTTCCTTTACCTGGGGCTGGGATGGCGAGAGCCGGTGGGCGGGTGAGGTGAACGCTTTGATTGCTTTCCTTAGAAAGGCGGGCAGCACCACCCCTCATAGGCAAGAAGGTCTCATAAGCTTTTGGACGCATTTCGAGTGGTTCATAAGCATCCTTTTTTGAAGAACTTAGAAACCGATCAAATCCCAGTGCTCCGTGGGCTCACTGGGCCTTGTTAGCAGAACGGAGAGGTTGGTTCCCCAAGAAGGACCTTGGTAAAGTGGAGGGGCGGCGAGAAAGAAGCAGGTCCTCACTCGGCCGCCGAGACGGAAGGCCACAGTGGCTGCAACAATGGGCTTGGACGTGAGAGCGATTGTTTGGATGGTGCAGGACCGGGCAGTGTCTCCTTTTGCTGTCCACCGGTCACTGTGAGCCGGAGCTGAGATGATGACAGCTAACACCAGCCAAGTCAGAAAAGAAATATTGTTCAAACAAGATCATTAACCGCCGAGGGCCCTTGGCAAGTCAGTCCAGGGTCATAGCGACCGACCCTGTGTAGGGTTTCTGACACTGTGAATCTTTGCAGGCGTAGACAGCCTCATTGCCCTCCCACAGAGCAGGTGGCAGGCTTGAACCGCCAACCCTGTGGTTTGCAGCCCAGTGCTTCCCCCATTGCACCACCTAGGCTTCCTCATGGCATAGGAGGGGACTTACAGAAGTTCACAGCCATGTGGAATTGGAAGCATTTGCCCCAGAGTTCTCTGCTCTCAGACCACAGTCGCCCACTGGGAGATGGCTCTGCTGAGCGCTGGGGGCCGGGTCAGCAGTGGGCGACTGGGCAGCAGCTCAGGGTGTTTCTGGGGTCAGTTGGTGTGGTCAGCATGCCTGAGCCTGGTGTGATGCTCCCCACTCTCCTGCAGAAAAGAATCCTGAAGACAATCCCTCCGGACGAGGCCATAAAGACCATCCAGGTGGCCGAGCGGGCCCGGCAAGGCCGCCTGCGAGCCCTGTTCATGAAGCAGATCTACCTGCAGGAGTACAGGATCAAACAGAACAAGCTGCTAGGGGACCGGGCCCTGGACATCTCAGCATCGGCGCTGTGCATTCAGAAGGTGAGGTACCCCCGAGAGCTGGGGGACGGGGGCGGGGTGTGGGGATGGCACCCATTCCCAAGATGTACCCCAGTGGGAGAGGGAGGAGGGCATGAAATCCAGATGCCAAATCTCACATGTTGGTAAACCCAAACTCACTGCCATCCAGTTGATGTCATCTCGTGGGGGCCCAAGAGAGCAGGCTAGAACCGCCCCTGTAGGCCGCTGAGACTGGGACCATGGGAGTAGAAAGCCCCATCTTTCTCCAGCAGAGCGGCTGGTGATTTCAAACTGCCATCCTTGCAGTGAGCAGCCCAGCACATAACCACTCCACCCCCGGGGCTCTCCCAGGCCTCTGGAAGCTCCATCGTCTCTGTACTGTGGTCCATCATGGGCACTATAGTGAGAGGGTGCTGAGAAGGTGGGGCCGGCTTGAGAGTGAGCACCCGGGAGGCAGAGGCAGGAGGCCAGCACAGGCTGCTGGCTAATGGCCAGAGAGAGAGACTGGCTCCTCCACGCAGCGTGGCCTCCGCAGACCTGCTGTTTGGGAAACCATGTGGGCCTGAGAGTCCCTGCCTGACCCTCCCTCTGTTCCTAGGTTTGGAGAGCCTACCACGAGAGCAAGAAAACGGAGCAAATGAGAGAAGAGGAGATGATATTCCTGGGGATGGTAAGTGTTCCAGCCCTTGGGGAAGCAGCTGGTTTCCGGGAGAAAAGAGCGTCTCCCAGTCTTGCAGACACTGCTGGATTTCTCTAGAGCGTGGCTCGTCTCAGAGAGGACCAGTAGCACAGGGAATGGCTGGTGAGGCCGGAGGAATAGGAACCAGCCCCGGGAATCAATGCAGTGGCG